TCACACCTTGGAGCACTGGTTGAAGTTTGGTCCCTCTTTTCCTGTGGAGATATAAACAATACCCTCCCCTTGGGTGGGTTAGCGCCCTGTGCCCCCGCTACCCATTTTGATTGAGTTGTTTTATGAGACTATAATCCTCAGCTTTCAAGCCTGGAATACTCATCTCTGAAGGTGTTTGGTTATATAAAGGGAAGTCAGAAACTATTGCTAATAGGGTTCTAGCTCATACATGCATAGGTGTATTCCAAACAAATATGCTTTATCATGCTTCATCAGTCATTGGGTGGCTGCATAAAGTTCTTTCAGAAATCCATGCAGGTGAGGTTTGGATTTACCAATATGACCAAAGAGGAAAGGGCAATCAAAACCAGAACAGTGGCTTCCAAGTGGATCTGTAAGGGCAGTTCAACTCAAGTCAAAAAGGTCAGCTCAGAAGATTATTGTAACAAATTTGGGGATCCCAAAAGGGGTAGTCCCAGATTTTCTCAAAGGACACAGGTTGATGATGGGGCCTTACATTGAGGAATGTTTTAAAAAATTGAAGACTATTGGTGACAAAAAGGTCACGAAAGTTGTGTGAAGACATTTTTCTTCATTATGACAGTATACCTGCTTAATCTTCATGGGCAGCGAAGGCTGTCCTATGAGAATTTCATTGGGGAACATGTCCTATGCACCCTACAGCCCTGGTTTTGCTCCTCAGATTTCTTTTTGTTCCCCAAACTCAGCATAAAGAATGAGCATGATTTGAACCCTTCAGCGATAGCAAAACTGCTCTTGTGACGTGATGTCAATGGAAACACTCAGAAGTCTTTGAGGAAGTGTTAAGCATTGCTTCCCTCCTTTTCAGAAAAAAAAATTATTCAGCTCTTCCTTTGCAATGAAAAATGTTTATACTGTAACCTGTAATCCAGGGGCTACAAACAAGATTGCCAGCGAGAACGAAGGGGAAAAGAGTTAGAGTGTAGGTGTCTGCTTTTGCCTCCTGCCTGCAGCAGTACAGCACCACCTCCTCTCCTGCCCTCCAGAGGGGCAGTATCACCCACTTTGGGAAACACTGGGCTACAGAGATGGAAATACTGCCTTCAGAAGGGGTGGAGGATATGTGGAGAGACGGTAGTTGTACATCTGGGTACTTTTTGTTTAATTAAGGTTTCTATGACTTTATAGCAAAACTTTTTATTTACTCTCTGAGGATATAGCGTGGGGGTTGCATCTGACCTCCTCCAGCTTCATTAGGAAAAAGGAGACCCTAACTTCACACAAACTCTATTGACACAAGGCAAAGTTCAGACATATCTCCAACCTTCATCTCTTTTTACCATGTTCAGTCACTAACCACTCTTCCCATGGTGATCTACTTCTCTGCTGGGTTGGATATTCAATTCAATGGCTACATAGAAACTTACAGACAGTATTCACAATGATGGGGGTTTACTAGGGAAGATGGGATTGGAAAACCTAGGGATGCAGTCATTGGTCCACATCAGTGCCTCTTTTCAGCCAGAAGCCAAGCCTTTCTTTGGTTCTCAGCCCCTCAGTCACTGTCTCTTGGCCTCTGCCTCCATGAACCAGGAAGTCTGCTCATCTCTCTGCCTCACTGTCTTGTTGTCTCAGCTCCTTTGCACTGGGGCCTCTGCTGCCTCCACCACTTTAGACAGGTGCTTCATGTGCACACCTGCCTTTCTGAACACGGCCCTGGGAGTCTTTCTGTTCCTGCTTCTGACAGCTTTCTCAGCCTTATAGGAATGGCAAAAACTGACCAGTCCTCAAGTTATTATTTTCTACACCTTATTTGCATGGTCCTACCCAATCACTTGGTGGAAATGACAGAAATGGATAGAAGAGCTGTAAGTAAGTAATTTCACTTTACCACACCTGCATATGGAGAATTATCTGTAGTTGTGTCTTCATTTGATGTTTGTGCCTGCACACACACATCTATATATTTATATGTATATATACCTGCACCTGACTTTGTGACTTTATGCATGTATGTATCCATATATGAGCTAAACCACCCCCTTTTTATTTTTTGGGCTTTGTTAGAACTATTGAAATCTTTTATAAGAGTAGTTTCAAAAAGTTCATGGGAAAATCTATTATCTTTGAATTCCATCTTCTACAAACTTTTAAAGCACCCTCGTATGTCAAATTCTTTCGTGCCGGTACCCTTTTCTCTTGAGTACTTATGAGTGTTCTGTTTAGTTTGGCCATGCTGTGTTCCCACATTCAGTCCCACATTCAGTCCCATCACCAAAAATAACCAGTATCTATAATTTAAAACATAACACGGATTTGATCATTTTAGCTGATGAACTGGCAAAGCACTATTACTAAATCTCTTGGTTATAGTTAGCTGCATTTGACTATAGTAAAGAGATGAGTTTAGAAGAGAATTGGCCGATTTGCAAGCGAGAATGAAGGGGACAGAGTTAATTTAAAATATCTGAAAGTTGCCCTGTTTTCAGCCCGTGAAAGAGAAAATTGATAGGTGAGGGAGAGATACTATGGGTGGTCAAGGCTGATTAAGGTGAGTCCATGGGGCAATGACCAGATCAAAGGCATGGGAGTCACACATCATGCTGTGAGCTTAAGGAGCCCTGGTATCAACCCCTTTGTTAGACAAGAAAGAGAAGAAGAAACTAAGAGTAGGTTCTGACACAAACAGCTCCCAATACATGTAATTAAGGTGTGTCTAGAAAAGCATTTGTGGGCAGAGTTCTTGGTAGGCTGAGGTACTTGGAATCAAATAGATAAAAACTGACCCAGTTTTTCTTTTCTTTGAGTGTATATATGTCACAGTTTTATATGATCCTTTAAAAAATAATCATCAAAATTCATTGAATTTTGCACTTTAAGTGTTAACAGTTCAGTGTAGTTTATAGTGTGTAAATCTTTCCTCAGGAAAAAATCTCCTTGATAAAAGAAAAAAAAAATCAGTAGTAATTTGGAATTAACCTGTACTGTTTTTCTTCAGATATTATATAGTTTATTCCTTCTGATTACCTGTTTTTAACAGGTAGACTTTAATTTATAAAATAAAATAAAAATTGTAAAATAGATACAACAAAAGTTTGTCTTTTTTTAATGATTTTTAAATGTACAATTCAATGACATTAATTACATTTACTGTGTTGTGCTACCATTACCCACTTGGACAAACGTTTTTATCACCCCAAACAGCAATGACTCTTCACTTTCCAACCCCTAATACTTGGTAACCACCAATAAATACAGCTTTCTCTCCGTGAATTTGCAATAGACATAAATATAAAAGCGTTTTTAGATTTGTAGAAAAACTGAGCAGAGAATTCTCATATCATATCCGCTCTTCCCCTCATATAGAGTTTTTTCTTTCATTTCTTTCATTTTCTTCCATGATACTTTCCGTATTAGCAGTCTTCTGTTTTTAGGGCACATTTGTTACAATTAATGAACCAATATTGAAACATTTACTAAATCTGCACTTTACTTAGATTTATTTAGTTTTTACCTCACCTTTTTCTGTTCTTGAACACCATATTAGTCAGTGTCTGCTTAGGCTACTCTTGGCTGTAACAGTTTCTCAGACTTTCCTTGTTTTTGATGACCTTGAAAGACTTGAGACCTAGTTAGTCAAATATATTGTAATGTGCTCTCTGGTGGAATTGGTCTGGTGGTTTTCCCATGATTAGTCTGTGATTATGGGATTTGGGAGAAAGACCACAGAAGTAGATTGTCTGTTTTTCTTTGCACATTAAGGGTCTGTACTAACTTCTGATATACTTTTACAGATGTTTTATTTCAGCGCTTTGCAAAGGTTTTCATTGGCTGCCTTGCAGCAGCTACTAGTGGTATGATGTACGCTCTCTACTTATCAGCATACCATGAACGGAAATTCTGGTTTTCCAACAGACAGGTAAGAAGAAAGAATTTTGGACATATGAAAGTTGTTTTAGTGTTTAATATTAATTTGGCTACTGTGTTTTCCAGCTAGCCAGAAATGCCTTACACAGAGTCATTAGGAACAAAGTGCTCCAGAAGCTCTTGTGAGGACCCAGTCATGGTATCAGCTTCGAAAGATTTAAAAGGATGTGTTTCAAGGCCAGAGAATGGAGGCTTTGAGGCTGCTCTCCTCATGCTGTTCCCGTATCAAAGACTTTGGATGATAGTCAGTCTGTCAGCCCTTTAGTAGATTTGATAGTTCATATTTTAGAAACAACCAATGAACATTTCAGAATTAAAGTATTTTGATTTCTAAATTTTATGATTAAAACTTTGATGGGAGATTGAAAATGATTAACAGACTTTGCTTACAAAGCTATTATCTCATTGTGTATTTAAAGTCTGGTTTAAGTAATTTCATAATTTGGTCTTTAAGTATATTTTCAGAATTAACTTTATAATCAGATATGTTTGTCATGTGAGTGGGCAGAGTTTATGACGTTGCTATTTGACTTTGTAAAACATAGAAACCATTGCTGTCATACTGACTCTGAGCTGCAGGACAGAGCAGAACTGCCCCATAGGGTTTCCAAGCAGGCTGTCACAGCTTTCTCCTGAGAGTGTGAGTAGAAGATCTCAACCACTGACTTTTCAATTCGTATCCGAGTGCTTTAACCAGTGTGCCACCAAACCTTTTTGACATGATATGTTTTTTA